ATAGTCGCAGAGTCACACAAGGGTAGCAGGGGTGGTTCCATGACAGCCCACCATCAATCTTGTAAAGAGAAGCACCGTGAAAGGAATCCACGCGACAGGCCTTGAGGGCTGCGGATGCACGGAGTTCGCGCCTTTCATGGCCCCTGTCAGAAATTCTTCGCATTCAGAGCTCAATCTTCGTGAGAGGAGGGGTCTTAGGGGATTCCGGTTGGTACATGATTGCAGGGAAGCTGTCAAGTGGAGGTGCAACTGAGGTTTCGAGGTGTAGAGGTACTTTGTGTCTGTATGTATGTACATGGACACATGAATGGGTACCACCCGATCGAAAAGACACATATATGCACAGTATATGTAGCTATATATATATATATATACATATATATATATATATATGAATAAGCTTGTGCCCATTTGCAGTCTCATCATTCGATGACGCCACCTTCGGCAGGTGGGCGCGGAAGTCTCGAACATGATCGGGGCGAGGTCGTGATGAGCTGAATGTGACCAGCTTGGACCGTATGCAGAGCGAACGATGTATCGCAACTACTCTGCGCACGAAACGCCTCGCAACTTAGGACTCTAGCACTACCTGCTCTGCATTGAAGGCTCTTGTGTACCTGCAGGGAGAAGAAACGTACAATTTGCCGAAAAAGTCGACTTTGCAATTTGCCCGAATGAAAAAAAGATCCTGCACCAAATCCAACAACTGCCGAGCACCTGTTGACATGAGTGCCGACGATATTTGTCCCAAGTTGCAGCCGTTGCTGGATTTTCGATAAGTGAGCGGCACCGATTCGGGCATCTACAGATCTTCTCGCTAAAGACATCCCCAAGCGACCGCCCAGGAAGACCCGGCACTTACCGAAGGTGCAGACCGGGTAATGACAAGTCAAATCACTCGAACATCATCGGTCATGCATCAAGAGTTCTTCGAAAAAACCCTGCACGCAAACCACCAGTCGAAGCAAAGGGGAGACGAAGCTTGCCTCTATGACTTCAGGGGACCAACTCCCGAGCGGGCCTTGCTAGCTACACTTCAGGTCCGGAGCTGCCGCCATTGCAGGCAAGACAAGCTGCAAAGGGCGCAAGCGGCGCCTGCGGCCCCCGTGATAACTTCTTTTGGGAGTCCGTCTTTCTGGCTGAGTGAGCGCTGCGCTCGGGGCCTGAAGAAAGAAACAGTGTTTTGCTAGGGTAGGTATGGTTTGGTAGCTGAATTTCAAGCATTGCGAGAGTCGGGGCTTACACTCCTTATGCTCATGTCGCTCTTACCGTGGATCCTTCATTGCGCGCCGTCCGGCTTTGCCGGCTGAAACGCTGCGGCAAGCCGTGCATTTAGAGTGGAACATCGTGCAGATGTACAGACATGACGAGGAAGCGCCACCGGCTCTATCGAAGCTGGGTTTGCAATGAAATGCTTCCAAAGTGGTTTTAGGCGCCACTTTCAATGTCTCGCGACGCCCGACCATATACAGACCCCAGTGCTACTGGCAAACGGAGGAACTGGCCTGCGAGCGGTTTCCCAGCACGGGTCTCGAAGTCTTCTGAGTTCGGCCAAAACATGCAGAAAGCAGGGTCCTTTGCAGTTAGCCTTGGCTTTGACTTTGTGATTCCCGACCTGATTTATGAATAATGGAGTCTTTTCATGCGGGAAGCCATTTCCAGCTGCCGTCAGGATAGAGGGGTGGGGATATATGGTTTGACTGAACGATGTGAGCAATCCCCGGCATTGACAGGCGTCGTGCCCACTTTCTTTGCCTTGCAGCTGCGCATCCTCAAAGTTCTTCCCTGAGCCGGATGGACTCCTGGAGAAAGGAGACTGGCTCGGGCGATTCAGGCTGACGCCCCTCGAAGATCAAGCCCGCCAGGTCCACGTGTGGGAAAGGCTCGGCCGGAATGGGCTTGCCAAGGAAGTGAGCCAGGGGCGCCCAGCCGTCAGTGAAATTGAACCTGACTCTTCCGCATAAGCAGAGTATAGCAGAGTGTTGGGACCCCTGAACCACAGGCCTTCCATGTAGCCCAACCCCACATAGCCAAGGAACACAAGGAGACGATGTGCTGGGATCACTTGCTGCACTCGCTCATTGTGATGTCGGTATGCCTGCTAGGGTTGAGGCTTTAGTCAAATGCACATCAGGAGGTTTGCTTAAGTGTGCTACGCGAGTTCTTGGGTTGATAATGAAACCCCACTGACGCCACACGCACTGAGGCAAGGCCGTGCAAGACCTCGTTGGTACTTGTTTTATGGCTTGGCCAGGAAATTTCATTTCAGTGGTCGACAGAGATCCCCGCTGGAATCCCGGTCCTTGCGACAATCTCTTGACGGATAGCTTGGACAAAGTTTTCCAGTTCAACCGTGCTGGTGCAGATTTGAAAGCAACGGCCTACCTGTGTATCTGACGCATCATGTTGTCAAAAATCACGCATGAGCTTCTCAAAACAGACAGCACATACCAATCAAAACCGGTTCGATCTGGCTTCTCATCGGCACCCGCAGCGAAACCAAATAGCCAATAGCCTATAGATGATGCGCCGTAAGCAGGTGCAAGACGGTGGCTTCTGACGAACCACATCCCCAAACGAGTCAGGCGCCTTATGTTGTGGCCTTAACAATTAGCCTAGGGTTTTGGGGCCCAGTATGCTATAATTATGATAAGGCACCCCCAAAGCCCTATTCTAATTATTAAGGCCCTACATTACTGAAGGCTGGAGTGCGTAGGACTGGTCAAACGAGCAGCTTGTCCCATTTTGTTTGATTCCGGCGAGAATTCTTTGGCTAAGTTGGCAGTCTGAGCAACCGACTACATAAAGAAATACAGAACGGCCACTTGTCCTAATAGAGACGCCGGATTGTAATTAGAATAAGGCTTTGGGGTATACTTTGAGGTATATTATACTAGAGTTATAATAAGGAACCCCCCAAAATAGTATAGGGTAATTATTTAGACCCCTATATTACATTATAAGACAGAAAGCCAGGTATGCCGGCAGGCCTCCAAGCATTGCTGCTTGGATTCCTCAGTGAAGTTAGCAAACTCGCATCCCCAGTAGGTTGCAGCCGCGCAGTATTGTATCTCCTCAGCTGCGACAACTGCGACAATAAGGTCATGAGGTCCAAGTGTCTAGCTGTTGGGCACTTCCCCGCAAACCTATCTGACAAAAGTCCTTACTCAGTAATGTTGTGAGAATGGTCGACAAAAAATAGATGCCGGTGCGAAACCGCAAAACATCTCCTGATGCAGTCTTGGCTCCTCATGATCTTTTCTTTCTTCGTAAAAGACTCCTAGGTCATCAATCTGTGGTCCAAGACTGGTAACCATGCCCGCGATCAGCTTGACAAAGCTCTCGAACCAACCTGCAGAGTGTTTTGGAAACCCTTTCAGCAGACCGATTGTGACAAAGGTCCTTCACAAAACAAGGAGAAAATACATGTCGCCCAATTGGACCCGCCAACGCTCTGGATCGGAGATGGTCAACACAAACTTTGCCTTCGGGAAAGCTTCCATAATCTCCTTCCAGGCAAGAAGAAGCCCGATAATATGCACCCTCCCAACAGGATTCAGAATTGTGGAGGGTATGATTTTTTCACAACGGCGGATGAGACTTAATGATGCTCCTCATAGACCAACTGGAACGGCTCGTCCATCGCAGCATCATAGCCTTCCAGGATGGCCATCGCATCTTGCAGCGAGCCATTGGCGAACAAGTACTCACACCAGGGAATCCGCTTGTCGGACCGATAGCCGCTGTGGAGCGTGTTCAGACCAAGTATCCTGAGAGCCTGGTACATGGACTGGGTGCCAGTCCGCGGTGCGCCAACATCCAGCACTTCAAAAGCAGAGGCAAAGAAGAGAAGCAAGAACGGCAGAAGCAGTCGCGACATCGCTTGTAAGTCATTTGCATGCAGAAACGGTACAGTGGTTACACCGCTTGAGCCAAGGTTTCGGTCCATGGGTTTTGATTCTAACGGAACTGTTCCAAGCTCATGTGAGGACGATACTTGACACTCAGGGAGGAATTAGAAGGAACGGGTGTTGGTCATCCTTCGGGTTTGGGACGACGATTTTGCCAGGGGAATGTTGGAGGGTAGTTTGGGGAAGGTAGTAAGAAGGGACAATATGACATGCGACCTGGGACTTTGCCTTCAACCATTGAGGCGGCTGAGATCTGCAACTCTGAGCCACGCTGGGTCTATGTTCGCTGCCGGCAGGCAAAGGATAAGGGACCCTGACGACGGTGGTGATGGGTTGTGTACGTTGGAACGAAAAGTGGCTCATGGTCTGCCAAGTTTCTGTGAAACCTGGCGCCTCGGCAACTCGAAAAGAGCTTGCCAACTGCCGCTGCACTTCGAGTTTAAGCACAGAGTCGGTATCAAAGGCATCTACTTGCCTTCGGGAGTGTCTTCGCGACCTGAAGGCGGCATACAAGTTTGTTGCTGATGTGCGGCTCCGACATGTGACCACAGTAAATGCCTGAGCCACAGAAGCTGATCCAAACAAGGGGAATGATACTCCCATGTACCATAGACCGCGTGGGCGAAGGATTCACGAACGTCCAAGTTCTAGCAGCTGGATTTCCGAAATGTGCGCTGCGCTCTGGAACACACTGCCCCATCTCGGGGAAATTCTGTGAACTAGCAGAAACCGAGGTCCTGCGGAGTAGTTCCTCCAACGTTTCTGACTTAGTTCAACTCGCTCTCACAGCGCATGTGTGAGGCTTTCGGCTTCTCACTTTTCAAGAAGCCCCCCTAAAGAGCCTACAAAGGCAAGCGATGCTCGAAAAGGCAGCTGCTCGGACCTCTGGCAGCACTGAAAATACTTCCCTTTGCAATTGCTGTCGACATGGTCCGCGTGTGCCCCTTATATTTGAGATGGTCAGGATACTCGATCCAGCTGGCGTATGGAACGACTGCCTCTGAAACTGAATTTGAGCGACGGTCCCGATGAAGCAAATCATGAGCATCCGGTCTCGTGGCTGCTACCACAGATTTGCTCATCCGGCTCTCAGCTGCTGTTCAGGGGAGACTTGGTGACACCTGCCGAAGCGGGGCTTAGTTTGGCTGCAGGGTTTGAGAGGGTGGTTATATGAAGAACCCGGTATATAGGAAGCAGTGAACGGCCGCCATCACACCTTTTGGGTGGACACGGTCTGAAATGTCGAGCCCATGGAGTCAAAATCTTCCTTGAGACAGCGACCACACTCAAAGCACCCACAGACAAGTGGTTCCGGTGACTACGACAGTGTAACAAGGGTCTTACAGATTACAGATACTGTGCTGCAGTACGTACGAGTCAAATGCCCGGGGCAACTGCTAGCTGAAATCATGCAACGCTTGGAGGCTTAGGACGGAGTCTCTAGGACCTCTAGGACTAGGACATTGTGGTATATCAATCCTTGGCGCCGCAAGGCCGTACCAGTACGTCTTGGGTCCCTGAAGCCATGACCGTTACGTTCTCTACGAGCCGCTCATAGAACTGGCCGTATTCATTGGCTGAACATCACTTGCTCTTGCTTGGCCGAAAATCTTTTGCCGCTGAAGGCCTTCGGTATTGTACGGGGGCACCTAAGTAGCTCGAGCTGATTCTTACGGCCCGGCGTCTTACACCACCCGCTTGCGAAAACGGTTCCAGGTACTGTGATGCTTGAATTGTACACCTTATCGACGCCCTTCTCTTCACGGCTTTGCATCGTGCAGTACCTTGCAGTGGAAGCCTGTGGATGTCGAGTCCGTGGGGTTGCATCGGTGCAGACACCGGGGGGTGGGGGGGGGGGGGGGACCGGGATGCACAACAGAGTGTCGCGGCGTGCGAAGACAGCAAAGGTATGGGAGTGTGGGGCCGCTGGCTCAAATGTCCTGCCTGCATGACCAGCACCACTCGGTCGGCGGAAGAGGTTGCGAAGCCTGAGTGTGCGAAATAGAGAACGGTTCGGCACTGCTTGACGAACTTATGTATACTGTAAACTTACTGATCTTGCTTCAATCCTTGAACATGATGCTCAGAGCTTCGGGTCCTGGTGTCGGTCCTGTTTCCGGAAGGAAGATCTTCGATAGGCCAAGAAGATATCCGGGTTTGCTCTGTAAGACGGCTACCGTAGAGTGCCTGACCCGTCCAGTGAGTATGAGCATAAATGTTGCATCTAGCGAATCTAGCACCGCTGTGTGTCGTGAAGACCTGAAACCTGCAAGTGCTCCCCGTGATTCTACGATTTCGTTGCCATCTATGCACAACTTGTTGCGATTCGCACACTTTACTAGCCGTGATCGATCATGATTATGATACTGGCTGAGCGCTGATGAGGTGAAAGTTGCTGCTTCTGAAACTACTTGACATTTTCGGTGAAATCCAGCACTGACTATCAATGGAGCTCAACCACAAACCAATAAGCACGTCAGACGACTGGGGCGGACACTGACCCAGCCTGCATTGTCAAACTAAAAGGAATGCTGCACTTGATTGAATTCAGCGCAGTCTGGTGTGGTGGGTTGAAGAAGCCGACTTCCAGTTAACTTTCCAGCTTGGTCAAAGCAGAAGCTCTCCAGGTACTTTGAAGGTGCCTGGCTTTCGGTGGCTTCCAAGACGCTCCACCACTGGAGGCCGAGACCTGCGCATGAGCGACGATGTCTAGTCTAGACTTTGGAGATCCAGAAAACATCGGGAAAATCAACAAGAAACATCAATATGGTTGATCGTATTGTAGTTGTGGTCAATGCCGTGTGATTGTGCTTATTTATTTTTGTGAGAGCGTGTCATGCTGATTCTGCAATACTACGAACCGCGACCACGACAACGATTGTTACTACCACAACCACAACCACTGCATTTTCGGAAAGGGAAGACTGTCTTTCGCCTCTTTATCCTCCGGGCTCGAAGCAGACGGCGAGATGTCTGGGCCTGGCGCAGGACTTCAGGTATTGACGATGTGCCCGGAGCAGCTTTTTCTGCAGGACTGCTCGAACTGTAGATTCGGGCGGAAGTTCGACTTTGGGTTGGTCGCTGACCGGCAGAAAACAAGCCCGATTGCATCGAGTGGCCGGAGATGCATGTTTGCGACTGCTTCGGAGGCTTCAGTGGGGAGATGCTCTGTGTGTGACATTGCTCTCGCTAGCATCCGAGAATGCTGATGGGTCGTGCGTCCTCGCGCAGGCCTCCCCGGAGTCCAGATACCTCTGAGGCTTCGGCTTGGCTTTTCTGCCGGCGTCTGCTCCTCTGGCGAGGCTGAGGTGAAAGGTCCTGCAAGTCCCCAACAAGACGACATCTTTGCGAAAAGCAGATCCAGGCAGAATCACTGAGGTTGGGAGAATTAGAAGGGACGGTACATGTTGAAACAAGTTGACTGCCACTTCAGCCCTTCTCTGACTAGCTGAAAACATAGCTTTTCATTTACATGCCGACGGTGATGGCGATCAAGGTGCTGTCGAAGATGACGGCAGCAGAGTTGTGGTGATAATGATAACATACGAGTCAACAGTAGCTGTACTTTATACAGCAGAGATGACAACATCCAGCACGACAGTCTTAAAAGCAAAATTTCTCAGTCGCATGTTGCAGTTGCCTAGTACCCTCACTTCCAAGCCCACGGTTCAGCTGGAGGAATATGCAGGTCCAAGCGTCGCCGGAAGCCTGAACCAAGAGTCTGACAGTTTTCCCTTACTACTCAACTTCAACAATCCCGCGAGAAACCCCTGTGAGAATCGGGGTGCGCTCCTGTGGATCCTCCTTCCAGCTCCAAGACGATCTCCTCTTCCGGCTCGGCTACCTCTACTTCTGCCTCTCAAGAGAGCAGGCCTTGGCCTCGATGTAGGGTTTCTTGGAAGCTGGGCTTCAGGGCTGCGGAAGGCGCCCCAATGAAACCGCCACTCGGGATCTTCGTCCAGCATGAACTCTCAGATTTCGTGTTGAAGACACCTTGAATATTTACACATCTATGAGCATCGAAAAATACACATATTGGAATACACGCCAGAAGCTCGGTTTGTCTACATTGTCTACATGAAGCACAAGCTCAGGGCGATTCCTCCACGAACCCAAGGCCACTTGCCTCTGTCGACGTTGCTCGAGGTGCCGCCTCCACAGAGGCTGTGGGTTTATTTCTATCAGTCTTTCTAGTTCCGTTATGTAATACTGCTATTCGTATTATTCTTATGACTATTTTTCACTATTGTTATTATTGCTATCAGTATTATTCTTATGACTATTTTTACATATTGTTATTATTGCTATCATTTGTTTGATCTTGCTTAAAGTCTGTTTCCAAGAGGCAGCTTTGGGGCTCTTGGCCCCAGGGCCGACAGATCCGAAATCCCGGGACTAGGCTCTGCAGACTTCTGGCAGTCGGAATATTCCTTAAACCATAATCATGTTTTATTCAGGGTTTTTATATAAAAGCTATATGCCTTAAACAGTAATAATATTATCTTATTCCGCCCCGAAAAAGGCAACTTCGCCTTCAGTCTTGTCGGGACCTTTCAAAGCTGAATCTGCCCCTGACTTCGCCAAGCGAGCTTCGCTGGAACTGCTCTAGGAGGCAATTTGTGGGGAGACACCCGAAACCCTGAAGCTCCATAAGAATAGTACTAATAGCAATAGTAACAATAATTAATACTAGTCATAAGAATAATACTAATAGCGGCCCAAAGCCTGAAAGGCCCAAAACCCCCTGGACGAGGGATGCCTCCTCCACGAGCTCCACGGGGATCCGGGGAGCAGGAGCCCAGCACGGCTCGGACTCGGTCGATGCAGAAGCGGATGGCGACTACGACTACACTAGCTCAGAGAAGCTTGAGTCTATGCAGCATGAGTATACTTACACGTACGCATGCACCTGTGTATATGAACATGTAGATGCATATATAGATATACGTACACAGGCACATGCACATGCATACAGATACGCAGACCACACATGCACATACACCGGCACCGACCCAGACCCGAGAGCGAGAGAGAGGGCCAGTCATCGGGCAATACCTACTACCTGGTCAAAAACCGAATCGAACGAAGATAGAACGACAAAACAAGCAACAACTTTAAGAATTCGGGTGGGATTCCGAGGGAACTTGCCTCCGAAATTTCGAAACCCCTGCCAGTCCAAGATCCGAACCATCGATGATTTGCGTAAGCCCTGGATGATCCTGGCTGCGAGTCTCGCATGATCCCATTTTTGCTGTTGGGCGAGTGCGGGGACAATTTACGTTCACCGAAGTATTACTACTGCTTCTAGCAGGTACTGGCATGATCGCGGGTATCTCTGGTGTGACTGTACTGTTGACGTTTGTAATTAGTACTCGTATGCTGATTACCGTTTCTAGTCTCTGGTTCTGGTTTCACAACGTGCAATCCGGGCTTTATTACATGTTAACTTCAGTCTGTAACTTTTGGCAGGGTATGCCAGTGGCGACATCGAGCCAAGGTGGCTCAATGTGCCCCTGGACACCTCCAGGACTAGCCGAGCAGGCCGGGACCACAGTAGTAACCGGTATAGGGTTTGGGGATTGTGAACCCACTTGCACGAGCTATGTTTCTCAAGGACTTCGGCACTCAGCTTCCCTCCATGCATGGTCATGCCGCTGCTATACCTGTATACCAGCATGGAGTCAGCCCGAAGGAGAGACTGCGCGGCAGGCAAACAGCTCCTTGCCCAAAGTAGGTGAACATAACCAGGAGGAGAATGGACTTGCACAAGCATTTCGATTATATGTGATATGCGATGTGTGTGTATATATATATATATATATATACACGAATGCAGCTATATGCATATATAGGAACTAGTACATTTACGCATACATTTGCTGGCGATCCTGAAGCCCGTCCTGTATACGTATAATGGGTGTTTCTGCACCTAGTGGACCGTGTGGACCCACAGAAATGGCTCGAACGCGCTTCTGCCCTGCTCTGTCTCACCCTGGCAGAGATGCAGGCATGGACACCTGGCCCGTTCCAAGCCAGCATTGGGCGACTTTTTGCCGTTCCTCGCGCACCCGAAGCCGCAACTCTCCCAGGCAGCTGTCGACGTCCCGGAGCAGCTCGTGCCCCTGGAATCCGAGAAGCCTGGCACTTGCAAAGCATCTTCAGTGCTCAGAGTGTATGTCGACATGGACGATGCACTTAAAGGATGCAAACGCGGAGAGGGGGGAGCTCTCGCTACTCTCCGGAGTGCCACAGTATGCCGTTCTTCCCAGGCCGAGCCGCTCCAGGCTGGCAAGGAGATCCGCTGGCAGTGGCGCCTGGACATCCAGCTCCTGATCGAAACCCAGCGTGGGTGAAGTGGGGCATCCTCGAGTTTGGGGCGTGGCGGACGGCTGGGACATGCCGGAGTCTCAGCACTGCCGAGCCTCAAGTGAAGGTGAGAACTGCTTACTTGTGGCCGGATTCAATGCAACAGATGCAACATCATCCCACGGAGCCGGAAGAAAATAGGAGAGCTGCGTTGAGACGCGTGCCTCTTGCAGAAGTTGCTCTCAGTCAATACCTCCCAAGCAACCCTGAAAGCATGATGATCCTGCCTGGCCTCCAACCCCAAATGGCTGGCCCACACGAACAAATTGAAAGTAGCATGCCTCAACACCTCTCCGAAATGACCCGAGCTGGCACACCTCAGAATTCAGATTCATGCATCGCAGGCGGCTGCGGTGCAGAAAAAGCCTGGAGCACCTGAGCTGAGTTTCGGCAGCTCCAGAGAAAATATGGCCATGTACGTACAAGTACGTACCAATGTGCACATCTGCGCCTCTAGCCATGGACTTTGGAGTTCCAACTAAATGTGTACATAAGCATACAGGCCCAGAGCTGCAACAGACACAGACATGCATGCAAGCGCGAATCAAGTATGTCGGCACCTACCTGTGTACACAGAAAGAAAGATGGATGCATCGTCAAATCGCAGTCCCCCGTACTTGTCAGGTTCATGACCACCAGCAGGGAGCCGTGATGAAAGCTTCGTTGATTTTAATGAGAATGGCATCTCGTTTCTAGTGCGTCTGCACCCGAGCGTCCTTGCTTACTACCGCAACAGTTATCCGAGTCCTAGTCCATGTGGAAGCAGAGAATTCATGTCAACCTTGGCATCCGATTTCAGAGTCACCATTGGTAGCATCTGCCTCATCAGAACAATAGTGCGAATACTAGCACTAAGTATTGATAGTATAATACAACGAACTTTTTAGAAACATGCTTCATCATGTTGGTGCTGCGTCTCTGGGCAAGGTTTGCGCGGATTTGTTTCATGTTTCGTTACGCGGATTGTTGGCCGGCAGTGCACTTGTTGCGCGAATTTTTTTGAGGGAGATAGAACCTTCAGAAAATCCGCGGCAAAATCCGCGAGAAAATTCGCAAGCAACTCCGCGAGACAACCCGGCAGTGCCATACAAAGAAAGTCGCGAAAAATCCGTTGCCCAGAAAGCCAACCCTAAAATCATGATCTTACCTTTTGCGTCGTGCTGGTCTTCATCTCATTATTATCGCTGCCAGAACCATATTAATAGGGCTATATTGAAACGGAAGAAGATGGGGCACTCGCAGATTACGATGCAAAAATGAGGCATAACAAAAACTACACAGTACATGATGCAGTACTGCACATCCACTCGTGCATGCATATATGTGGAAACGACTCAGGATTGCATGCTGCTTGCATAAGTAAACCTTGTCTTCAAGGCCGTAATGAAACCCTGCATGTTCTTGAGATAGGATCTGAAGATATCATCCACAAGCCTATGGCAAGAACTCGACGTCGTTTGTGTCACTGTGGTCACCATGGGGTTGAAAGGATAATCGGGCATCAGAGAAGGACACAGATTGCAAAACATGAAACCAGGAGGCCCTCCCATTTGTATGTTCGTGTTGCAACGACCCTCTGCAGAAGCCGAAGATGCGACGCACTGCATCTCAAAAATAAGGAGAGCAATGTGAAATCTGGCATGAACGACTAAGAAGCTAAGAAGATCTCAGGTGATGTCTCGTTTCACACACGAGCGGCTAGTACACAAACATCCCGAACAGTTTCACATTGATCCTGCCGAAAAGCCATGCAATATCTTGGCGCAAGGATGCTGCACCATAGCGTCCGTCACAGACAACAGGATGGCCTAAGTTCCACTTGCAAGCATCGAAGCAACCAGGTGCAGTGGGAACCTGGCCCGGGAATTAACCTGCATCGTGAACCATGTCTGGGATATAATATTCTGTTGCGTAGATAGTGCTCTGCAAGAGAACACGGAGACTGCCCGCGACAGCCCAGAATACCATCCATTCCTATTGCCTCGATGCATGCACTCCGAATGACTCTGCTCCCTTGTGCTTTGAAGCTGACTCTGGTCTACACTGCTCCATGCAAGACATGTGGCCACCATGCACATCGAAGACTGACAATCCATATTGAACCCAGGACTCTTCGTGCAAAGAAGCAGCCGCGGCTCGAAAGCTGCACACGGATCTGATGCCGGCGCCCGGTGAGAATGGACACGGCCAGCAGTGTGTACCTTGTCTTGTGGCTTATGGCCTTCTGCTTAATTACACTGCGCAACTCAGTCTTAGGTCGATGCTTCGAAGCTCTCGGTTCAACCATGGGAGGTGTCGCAGCGTCTGTTGTCCACACTTCAATGGATCTGCTTCTTCCCTTGTCGCCCATGAGTACTCGAGCTGTTTCATTCCAAGGCTAACGGAAAGCTCATTATGCACATGCCGCGTCGGAAGCAAAGTCGCAACCCCTGCACATGACCCTCAATCAAGTCAAACTCACGGGCCCTGTGCTCTTTTGCGCAGCTGCTTCTCTAGCAATCTCTGGCTGCAACTCCCTTTGCATCGGTATATCCCTATATTCATATGAAGGGAAAACTAGGGCAAGCGGAAACCTTTCAAGCGATTTCGAGAAATTAAGGTTTAGGGTTTAGGGTTTCGGATCAGCAGCTTGGACCGTGTGGTGCAGCAACCTTTGGGCCTAATTCCATCTCTGCACGAGCCGCGGTGAGGACGCAGCAATGTGGCCAATCGGAAGCGCCCAGCCTAAGGCTACAAAATCCATGCCAACAACCTCTTGTCTGAAGACCTGTGATCAAATGGTGGTTTTCATGGTCCACCTCGGGTCAGAAGTTAGAAGCTTAGAGGGGTTGAGTTTTGAGTATACGAAAGTTTAAGTTTCACTGTAGAAGTACTCAGCACCGCCGCCTGCATTCTGCCTTCTTTTCGTTTGCTCCATCTAGCTAGCACTCTGCCTCTCTCAGCGCGGTCCTGGTTTGCTGGCCTTCTGCGCTCCGAAAACCAGTCCCAGAGATCCGAGCACTTCAGCTACCGGCGTTCTGAACCCCCGAAGCCCAGAAGCCCGAACCCCTCAACCCCTAATCCCTTATATATATATATATATATATATATATATATATATCCTTAAACCCACCAAAAACGGCTCTTCCGAGTCCTCAATACCAGTGGGAATCGAGCGTCTTCGACTCAGCCTGCCGTTCTGGGACACGGAGCTGCCGCCTGCGGACTAGCAGGTTAATGTAGGGGCCTTAATCATTAGAATAGGGTTTTGTGGCCCATTATACAAACTTTTTGTTCGGAACCCCCACAATAATATTGTCTTGTCTTGTCTGATGGATCGTCGTGCCGCGTCTTGCGGCGCATCCCAAAATTGCGAATTCAAAAAGAACATGCATAACGTCCCTTTGCCCAGTAAGCACTGGAAGTGGCACGCGGACCTTCGGTCGAGCGTGAGGCAATATGCCTTTCAATCCATGCTACATGCTCCCTACGTGGACGGAAAATAGGTCGGAAGACATCGAGAGTGATATCCTCTTGGTCAAAATCCAGACCATGAAGCCTCTCATCTGCCGTCGGAATGAGGGGGTATGCAACAAGGGAGGTTTGATCGACACCTTTGAAGGTCTCCCACTTGCCTTTCTTCAAGAGCTTTTCAGCAGCAACTGTGTCAGCTTCTACTGTACGTATCTGCTGGGTGGTCATGGGAGGGACGAGGTCGCAGACTCTTCGAAGGCACCTGTCACGTTGTTTGAGGTGCATCTGTACTTGTCTCAGACTGCCGAGCCACTTATTGCATGCAATGCAATACTTATCGAAAGAGTAGTGGCGAGCAGGGCTCCATACCTGGTGCCGGCGAGCCAGATGGACGCCCAGGTGTTTCCTTAAAGGAAAGCTGGCGTCACAAAGGTGGCAACTGTACACGGCGTTGATAGCCTCTGAGGACTTCGGTCCGGTCTGCGTACCGGTATCACACTGTGTGTGTGCAATCAGCCTCTGGCCTTCACTCTGTATGGCCTTGGCAAAGCGTTCACAGGCCTGTTTGACTTGACGTAACCACCAGCTTGGGTCCTCGAGTAGAGCCTCAAGCTGTCGTGGTAGTGGGGATGGTCCCAGCAAGTCACGTAACCCCGGCTTGTACATGTACACCAGTTCGATGTCATGCTCAACCTGGTGCAGCCAGGAACTGGGCTTGTGTTGATGCCAGTGCTCAAATAGGAGGTAACGGAGAACCTCGGGCCCATTCGAAGTGAGCTGTCTGAGGAAGGACGCCCTGGATTTTGCAAGGGCGAGAGGTGGTGACGGTGCGGAGGCTGCCCGCAGGACCTGTAGCCCGGAAGGTTGGTCCTCAGGTGCAACGGGTGGGCCGAGAGACCGCCACACTGCAATGTAGGCTCGATCCCACAAACGCTGATGCACTCCTGCTGCGAGGATGATAGACGCACTGGTGTGTACCAGCCTCGAAACAGCTAGGGCCTGTAGAAGGGACCTTCTAACTTTGGCAGGAATGTCACGATTGCTGAAGAGCCGGCGTCGGAGCGGTTTGGTGACACTCAGGGCCTGGGACTGCCTGAGGAGGACGTCCGGCCGGGGAACGGCGTTTGAAGTGAGAATGCCGCCAAGGTGCCGGTAGGCATGCACTATCGGCATCACGTGTTCAGTGGATGTAATCCCATCCCACACTCGTATGCCCTGACCACTTTCAGTGGGGATGACTGCTTCAGAGCATGCCTGCCAGTCGTGTGCAGCAGGAAGAAGGGCGGCAGTCTTGGTAGTGGCAAAAGTCAAGCGCATGCCCGTGGCCGTGGCCCGTGATGTGAGGATGGAGGTGGCCTTGGCAACATTGGAGATCAGCTCGGATGGTGTCTTGGCTTCTTGTGGCAGGAAAAAATCATCTGCCCACGCTGGCGCTCCAACATCCGTCGACACCGGCGCGCCACCCCATGGATGCCTTTCCTCTCCGTTGCCAAAACAGGGGCAGAGTCCCGAAGAGCGCAGAACTTCAGTAGTCCCCCGAAGGTACTCTCCAAAGGAAAGGGCAAAGAGAATGTCTGCCGCAGGATCACCAGGCCTAGTACCGCAAAACGTCATGGTGAGAATATCGTGAGCCTCTATGCGGAACCAAGTCGCGTGAAGCAGGTCTTGGATAAGAGCCTGTAGCTGGGCTGGGGTGTCAGCCGTAGTGAGGATGTCAAGCTGTTGAAGTCGGCTGAGCAGCTCAGACCTGGCTGCATTCGGTACTCCCATACGGTGGAGTAAGGCGAGAATGCCTTGGTCGTCGTCTGCATGACGAACGATAGCTTGCCTGACAACTCTGTAGAATGCGGCCTGAACATCCACAAAGATGATTCCCCAGAGCTTCCTTTGCAAGTGTTGCCGCATTTGGAAACTTCGAGCAGCGAGTGCGACTGCTTCTATTCCGACCCCACCAAGCGCCCCAAGCTGCAAGGGCTGCTTGTGTTTGGCGTGGATGGGCAACAGTTGATTGCGAAGAAACCTGTGATATATCTTGGCCGGAATGGCCGAGATAAGGATTGAACGGAAGTGATCACACTGAAGCGATGTACCGATTTTCTTGGCAAGGCAGCATAGTACGCCTCCTCGAAACTCAACTGGTTCTCTGATAGAGAGAGTGGTTTTGAGGAGAATCGGCATCAGGGTACGGGCAGCAATGGTTGGACTGGTGCGCAAGAGATCAGCAGTCAGCCCGTCCGGGCCGGCTGCTTTATGCCGTTTCAGTGTGAGGATGATACCCTCAATGTCGCTGAGTGTCGGAAGCGAAAAGGCATCGAAGGCGGCTGTGGGCCTCTCGCTACCTTCAGCACGCTCTAGATACTCAGCAGGAGTGGCAACAATGCCAGCTTCCTGCTCTGCGAAATGTTGCCTCCAACATTCTGCTTTGTCTTGTGGCGTGGCTGCAAGTTGTCCTGACTTATCAAGAACGGCGGGCAAGGGCCGAACGCCACTACGTCTAGCAGTTTTAGCAGAGGGGAATGCGCGTCTAACTGCCTTGTACAAGTCCGCTGGGTTCTTGAGGTCTCGCAGGGTGACCTGGTGGACAAGCCCGTTCAGGTAAGCAATGCGGTCATGTGCAACCTGTTTGCGTAGGCCTTTTGCGTACCCTCTGAGTAACGCGAGCGCGTATGCCTCGCTGTAGTCAAGGTCATAGAGCCAGGAGTCGGCGACTCCAAGGGCTCGTTCGCTTAGTGTATCCATCTGCGAATGCAGACGAAACGCGGCAAAGAGCAAGAGGAGCCACCTGTGCTTGCGTTCCTTGCGCTCGGCATGAAGGTAGTGTCGAAGGGCTTTGCACCACCGCGCGGTGGTAAGGGTAGCAGGCTGGATGAAGGGCTGCGTGACAGGCGGGCCAGTCTTTGGCGTAATGGCAGCGCCGGCCCGAGTCCAAGTCTGCACAAACCCATCGTACTGTTGGCCAACGGTAGCAGACCAGCAGCACGTGGGCATGCTGTTGAGCAGGTTGAGGCGGTGACAGAATTCCGTATCATCCTGCGGCAAGGGCGGTCTGATGCAACGACGTTTGCAGTCATTGTAAGCTGTATCAAGAATTTGACACTCGAACTCAACTTGTGTGTAGACCGGTGAATGGTCCTCACGAAGCTGGAGGGCCTCAAACCCAATGAGCACACGTGACTGTATTTGGTAGCTCTTCCAGTCTATGGGCAATGTGATGTAGTCGAGGCGGTGTCTGGTGCCTAGACAATTGCGCCATGTGTCGGCAGGTCCGGTATGCATGCCTTCAAAAGTTGATGGCGCAAAGGCATGCGTAGCGACAAGGAAATCGTGGAACAAACCTCCAGCAGCATTTTCGTCTGCAGCTTGGTACGTGGAGATGTGCTCGGTCTCAACACTGCCAACATGCGCGTTGGCGTCCAGCAACACAATTGAATCTGTACCCGGTGGTCGGGCTTGGATATCGGCTGCAATGTCCCTCCAGAACGCAGCAACTTCCTGGTAGGAGTGATTGGCGAGGGATGGGGCATGTGCAACAGTGATGAAAACCTTCAGGTGTGGCGCAATCACAGTGGCGTGGAGGTGCCTGTCGGAATGGCCCTTGATGACAACTTGATTTTCCTTGAAGTAGTAGTGCTGGTTATCTATTCGAGCATATGGCTCGTGTCGTGATAGCCACAGTGCACACCCTCCTGCTCCACGTTCGGTGGCAGAGGCCTGGAAAATGAAGTACTTAGCGTCAGTGGCAGTCTGGCTGCCAATGAGACGAGTCTCTTGGAGTCCGAGGATGTGGGGACGGTACTCTGCTAGTTCAAGCTGTAGCATAGCTTTGCGGCCCAAGACATTCATGCCAGCAGCAGTCTGGGCTTTCCCGGCCTTAGTGTCCTTCAGGGTCAGGACGTTGAAGGTTCTGAGCCGTAGCTGGAAATGAACAGCATCTCCAGAGGTACGTACCTCTTCGACGCCATAGGTGGGCGCACGCCAATAGGCCTCCCTGTGGACCCGGAGACGTGCGGCCTCACTTTCAAACGCATAGAGGGATGGCACATCATGGGTGTTGCCAGCAAGCATCCAAACCCATGGCATGAGGGGATGTGTGAACAAACTGGCGGGCCATTCTGGAAGGCAGAGGTCCTCGTAAGTAGCTGCAAACCTTCTGGCAGTTTTAGCAACTGCATCGGTGACCTCATTACCAAAGACCCCGGAATGTCCTTTAACGTGCTTATGCCAGACCTGTGCCTTGCACGTGAGAAATTGTCGCAAGGCAAGAAGCAAGGCGACAAGCGAAGGCTGATCAGAATGGGTGGGGTACTCGATTTGTCGCCAGTCCCCAAACACGCATTTGCCGGCCGATTCAGCGTCATAGTAGAATGCAACAGGAGCTTGAAGGTGTGCTGCATGTTCTATTATAGCCCACACAATGCTCCAAAGAAGGGCAAGGAGCTCACCTGTGAGTGCGTTGTCCCCGCATTCCCCAACGTGGTACGGTGTGTCTGGTGGGGTGGCTTGTCCAGACGCTCCACCACAAAAGTACAGACCTGTGGGCGTTGCAAACCACACCGTGAAACCCCAAGAGCATGGTACGACATCCGAGGGTCCACTGGAAGCGGAGCCATCGGTGAAGATCATCACTTCTTGCACTTCCGGCACTGGCGGGTGCATGTTGTGTCTGTGCCAGGCTGGAATTTGTCGGAGTGTCTTCCGATACTTGGGATCAAGAAGTGGCTCGTGGATGAGGGCACGCCAATCGT